CTTTCGCTTCATCAACCGTCATCAATCTTTTCATGCATGCTCGTCCGTTAAGGGTACTTTTAATTTGGCCATTCTTTAATATATCGCAAACCTGGTCAGTATATGTCCGTCTACGGCGCCCTCTACCCTCCACTAGGTAACAATTTAAAAACTTTAACTTCAATGTAGCTATCTAGAGTTTGATCCCTATTTTACAGGAGGATAATCATCGAATGAATTCTCCCGCTTGGGTAGAATTTGAGCCTGTTGAATCTTTTCCAAGAACAATGTGGATCTCATAGAGGTTCTTAAAAGTTTTCAAGATCAAAAGGTGTCACTGGACGAATTCCGAAATGTCATTAAACAGAATCAAAGATTTAATAACTCACGAAACTTTCCAAAACGGTTTACAAAGAGAGGTCTCTGTAAATAACAACCTCCATCTTGTATTGTTCCCATAATAGACATGGCCAAGCTAAAGATAGAACCAATGCTTACGAGACGCACAAAATTAAATGTCAAGTGTTTGGAAAACACCGGTTTCCAATTTCATTTCTTTTATAATAACTCAATTTTAGATTTACGAAAGATACCATAGATTGTGCTAAACTAAATTGATCTTCTAGTAATGTTTTGTGAATTTTATTTAACTTTAATGTGAATTAAGATCCAAATCATTTAGGTAATAAAACTTCTATGTATGTACGTACATGGGTAAAACCATACCTACTCAGAATGTCATGACTTGCATGAATACTTTCGTTTTACTTTGCTTCAAAACGTACCTAAATAAATTGCATTTATAAATGTTTCTACATAAAGAACTAAGTCTTTACCTGCATTAAAATGTTAGTCTTCGTTTTATTCTGTGTCTTAAAACATTTCCTTCAGCATAAAGTTATAAAGCTGTCAAGTGTGCTGTTGAAGAAGTTTTTTACAAGTTCTTTTAGCTCCACAGTAAAAGTACTTAAGTTGGTACTTACTTACTAACCGGCTAGTTTTATTTGTACTTAGTCTAAAACTGTGGTCTTGACTAATTGTTTATGTTTTCTAAAGCCAGTTATTTATCTTTGCAATTAACTAACGAACCAAGATGGAGTAATTACGACGACTGCCCACTGGAAGATTATTTAACAACATTTTGTTCACGTCTTTTGAATTATAGATGAAGTACCAATATACTAATAGGATCTACAACTTAAATAACTGCTACATGACTCCAACTGTTTGTTTTCTTATTTGATATAAATACTACATCTTATGTGTAGCTATTTATTGTGTATACGGTCGACTATTTAAACTGTCAAACACCAAGCGGTCACCGGTGACCGCGACCTATTGTTCTTTAATTTTGTCTATAAAACCGGTACTCGACGAGTTAATAAAAAATTTGACTTCACGAAGCAGACGATTCTGATGTCAGTCCTCCTATCGTCGTATCTACCATAAAATCGTCAACATAAACTATTTCTTATTTATATTTTTACCATCCTATAGCTAACGCCTTCAAAAATATAATAGCAATTGTATGCAGTATTGCGAGTTGTTTGATGATATTAAATACATAACTCCTAGCGCCATCTCTTTTACTGTCATAGAACTAACTACCCAGTTTCTTCACGAATGATTCCACTTGGAGAATGCATAAAATGTAGCCACTTGTTCCGCTATTAGGTAGATACTAAGTGTGTGAATCAGACTTGATCCGTACATTATGTGCATATATTTGTTAAAACTAGGCCATGTTACAATATTAGATTTCAATATTTCTTCCTTGACAACAGACAGACTCCCAAGTCCCAATGCTTGCTAACTTTTTGTTTACGAATTAACTTTTGTAAGTAGGTAGTGCTAATTAACGCTCTGCTTGCGTACTTGGATGTAGCTAGCGAACTACTAACACCTACAGCTAGCTAATGAGATGCGTCCCTAGTGTGACACGGTCAGGGCGGGGCTTGCCATGGCTAGTTGTAGGTACGGCTCTCACCCCCAGTCTCTGATACCCACTTAATTACGTTTCACTGCAAACACATTGTTCATCTAATAGACACGGCATTACGTAAATTAATTAACCCATGTATACTGTAGTTACTATGTTATATTGATTTAGGTAAATACCCATTGAGTTAAATGTAAAGTATACCTGCAGGTCAGGTACAGATACCTAAGTAGGTAGGTATAGCCCGCGTGTGATAAATTTATTACTATATTCCTACGAAAAAGCAACGTATTACGAATACGTCCATAAAGCAATATTAGTAAATTATAGGTGGTAAAGTTCCGTTATTAGATATAACAGCGAATAAACAGATATACCTAAACCCATCAAGAAATTAATTAATAATTACAAATTCTTGATTAATGTTGACCTATGAACGAACTTATTAGATTACTAAAAATTATAAGTACATGTTTCAAACAATCTCCTAAGTATTATTTCTCAAATAAATTAGTAAATTCATTAGTAGAAAATAAAGTAGATTAATAAAATATTACATCATACAATATCATCATCCCGCGTCCCGCCTTTTTACGACATCATTCAATGAATGAATGCTGTCAAATCAATGTTGTTCAACGAGATTGAGAATGAACGAAAGTGCGGATTGTTGTTCAATATTCCAGACAGTGGCGCCACTATACTTGCATTTAAGCCCGGATGCGTATCTATGGTCTATGGACACTTCCAGTCAGTGACGGGAAAATATAGAACACAAAACAAAGAGATTGAAGTTTCGAAGGCCATCGTTTGCCGCGCTTCGCAGACGTGCTACCAACTTACAAATGCGGATCGCCCTTTTGGATACATGCACAAAAAATAATAAAAGATATTCCATAGACTAATTCTCTTTTTTAAAATACAGAGCTTCATATTGTTAATAATAAAATTCACAATTACAAGTTCACAACCGCGACTAGTTGTGTAACAGAATATTTAAAAAATGAATGTTATTATTTATTATTTCTTAACAGAGTAGCCTAAAAGTACCTAGGTATACTTACAATTTATTAATGCTTATTGGAATTTATGAAGATCTAATCAGTTATGCAGTTTACTTATAAGCATTCATTTGAAACAGCGACCTAACGGCACAACAAATACTGGGATATTGCTGGGAATAAGATAAAAAAATAAAAAAACAAATACATAACATTGGTGTGGCATGTCAGACCGTGCCACGATCGTATGCTTCTTCAGACTTTTGGCGCTTTATGAGGCCACGCCACGCCACGACACTTGTTTATATTTACCTTGCATTTACCATGCTACATCACTATGATACACCACGCCAATGCATTTCTGCTTTAGACATAAAATGAAATAATTTATTATTGTTATTTAAGTGCTCGTTGGTTAAATTCATATACAAATACAGTTTATTTATTTGTGTAAATAATGTTTAAAGAACGATTATTATTCAAAAGTATGGCAACACTAAATTAAAGTACGATTTGTCTATTTAATGAAAATCAACATCACCACACACGCACGCTACAGGTCGTAAGTGCCAACCAAATAAAATCTAAAAATAATCGATAAAGAGATGTGCAATGTAAATAATCTTTATTTTAGACATGAAATCGTTTATATTGTAAGTTTTCACTTTTGGCAGATAAAATATAAACAGCAATACGACTACTGCCCGTTATAGCCACTGTTCGAGCGAAAAAATGATATTAATTTAAATTTGTCCATCAACATTGTTCTATAGAAAATCACTATATACTCGAAATACAATCAGTCGAGCTCCACTCCGAATTGTTCTTTTGCATGTTTAATGTACTTCTTCCATGTTTTATTATTAATATGTTATAAATATATCGTTTTACTGCTCGTTGGCCTAATGGTCGCAAGTGCGACTGCCGGGCAAAGGGTCTCGGGTTCGATTCCCGAGTCGGGCAAAGTATTACTGGGGTTTTTTAAAAAATCTCAGTAGTAGCACGGAGTCTGGAATTGTGCCCGGTATATGGCAATAGGCTCACCCCCTATTACATGGGACTCATAACATAAATAGTGAAAAGTGGGTGTTACATTGTACAGTGGCATAATGTGAACCTCTGCCTACCCCTTCGGGGATAAAAGGCGTGATGTTATGTTATATCGTTTTATAAGAATGTTTTTCTTTTATTTTACTGACCTATACAACAGCTAATTTCAGACAGACTTAAGATTCACCAGTACCAAAGTTATTGGTAATTAACATTCAATTTATTTCCAGTGTACAATAATGTGCTAGTATCAATACTACTTCAGTCACACTGTAGGTGTTGCACGATATTAGGTGTGTGTTGTGTGTGTCCATGGCTGTGGCGCCCTCAGTTATTTTCGTGATTGAATACAGACTGTACGTTTTTATTTCTCTCTCTTTTTTTTCTAAATGTATTAATAGGTAATACATACTTCAATAACATAGTAGGCTATATTTAATATCACAAAAATGTCATACTTAAAAAAAAAATATGTCTCAAAAAATAAAAAACCGTCAATGATTTAAACAATTTCAATCACTAAAAAATCTCGATTTAAAGAATATCCTTAAAAATAGTTTTTATGCAGAATTTAAATGATAATTGGTCATTAATTGGTATTTAAATGTTTTCGTTAATTTTACAATGTGTCGTCTCTATTAACAACCATAGATCGTGCAAAATGTTTGTTTAAATATGTCATATTTTTTATCTGCAATCATTCTGGCTGAATATTTTAAAACTATATCGTACCATAGACAAATTCTTGACGTCCGACGCCGTTCTTTTGATATCCGTTAGTTTGGTAGTGCTGTTGCTAACGCCATTTTTGTTATACAGTAGAAGCTTCATAGGCTGATTTTGTTTTACTCATTACTGTTTCGTACATGTGCGACAGAGAGAAACGAATGAGACTGTAATACGTAGCTTCGATTAACCCGAATATTTTCTTCAAAGCTTATTTACGACGTTTCTCATTGTCTATGCTGTAGATACGCATCCCGAGCGATACATACGGTGTTAAAGCTTTTAGTGACAAATGTATAGTAAAAATGAAGGAAAACGCCGTACTTAAGTGGCAAAAAGTTTACAATCCTACCGGCCCGCAACCCCGACCTCGCCATGGCCATCGCGCGGTCGCCATAAAAGATTTGATGATAGTTTTCGGCGGCGGAAACGAAGGGATAGTTCATGAGCTTCACGTCTTCAACACCACTACAAACCAATGGTTTGTTCCTGTAACCAAGGGAGAAGTGCCTCCAGGATGCGCCGCGTACGGCTTCGTGGTCGACGGAACGCGTCTCCTCGTTTTTGGCGGCATGGTGGAGTACGGCAAGTATTCTAATGATCTGTACGAGTTACAAGCCTCACGATGGGAATGGAAGCGTCTCAAGCCCCTTCCTCCCAAGCAGGGCCTCCCGCCTTGTCCCCGCCTTGGTCACAGCTTCACACTTCTAAATGGAAAAGTATACCTTTTTGGTGGATTAGCCAATGAGAGCGATGACCCCAAGAATAACATCCCAAGGTACCTAAATGACTTGTATACATTAGAGCTGTACCCTAATTCTTCTATGACAGTATGGGATATACCCCTGACTTATGGACAATCGCCCCCGCCACGCGAATCCCACAGTGGTGTGTCATACACGGACAGAAACAGTGGGAAATCATCTCTAATCATTTATGGAGGCATGAGCGGTTCGCGCCTGGGAGACCTGTGGGTCCTTGACGTGGACAGCATGTCATGGTCCCGCCCTGAAGTTGGTGGGCCACCACCCTTGCCCCGCTCTCTGCACACAGCTACAGTCATCGGCCATCACATGTATGTCTACGGGGGCTGGGTACCTCTTGTGCCTGATGAGTCTAAACTTGCCACTCATGAAAAGGAATGGAAGTGTACCAACACACTAGCTTCACTGAACCTAGAGTCTATGACATGGGACAACATTGCTTTGGACAAGTTTGAAGAGTGTGTTCCTCGAGCTCGAGCAGGACACAGTGCTGTTGCCATTCAAACTAGACTATATATCTGGTCAGGAAGAGATGGATACCGAAAAACTTGGAACAATCAGATTTGCTGCAAGGACTTGTGGTACTTGGAAGTTGGAGTACCACCACAGGCAAACCGAGTAGCCCTAGTTCGTGCAGGAACTACTTCACTAGAGTTGTGCTGGCCAGCAATGAACACAGTAACAACTTTTTTGCTTCAAGTACAGAAATGTGGCAAGGTTACTCCTGCACGTTTCCCAACTGCCGCCGAACCTCTGGCGGCACCACCGCCAGCATCGCCAGTAGCCAGCCAACCTGATGCTAATAAGGCATTTGGTATCACGTCTCCCGTCGCTAGCGGCCTTCCTCCAGCCGCCGAGCCCGCTCGTGCGACACCTACAGTCGCCTCTCCGGCACCGACGCCAATCACAACATCAACTCCACAGAAGATTGTTCCGACTCCTATCAAGGTACCCGCGCAAGCTGCAGTTAAAATCACACCAAACACCCCGACAATCAAACAAGCTACGTATCAGGCAAAGACAGTAGTGAAGTCACCTGCAACAGCTACGGCGGGCTCCTCGCAACAGATCAAGGTCGCTGCAGTGACGCCAGGAGTCACCAGGATCGTTAGCGGGGTCGGCACGCCTAGTACCGTACGCGTCTCCACCTCACAACCCAACACGCAGATCGTGCTGAGCTCTGCCACGGCTGGTGGCGGCTCCACGCCGCGCTTCGTTCAAGTGAAAACAGGCACAAGTGGAGCTGTACCAGTCAAACTTGGAGCCGGTAATATGCCAGTCAAACTTGCCGGTAATGCCCTAAAAATAGGTACTGCCAACCTCCAAGGCAAGATTACTACAAACAGCGTACAGAAAGTTGGCCAAGTAGGCGGTTCAAACGTACCGTTGAAATTAGGCGCAGGGAATGTTAAAATCGGTACAAGCAATGTACTGGTAAAGACAGCTGGTGGCGTTCCAATCCAAGCTGGAGTAGCCAATCTCCAAACAAAAGTGGCGGCAGGAGTGCCTGTGAAACTAGGTGCAGGCAATTTACCCGTCATAGCGAGCAGCGGGGGCGCGATACAGATCGCGGGCAGTGCGCTCGGCGGTCAGCAGGTAAAGACGCCTGTCTACAAGATCGTGACTGCAAAATCTAGCGACCAAACTGCGACGTCAACTACGAGTGCGGTAGCGGGTGGTGCCACTGTACTGCGGCAAGCAGGCGGTAACGCTGGTATACCAGTTATCATCAAGAAAACGCCTGGCGCAAATGCGCAATCGAGTAATGCACCTCAATACGTGACGCTGGTGAAAACATCGACAGGCATGACAGTGGCGACCATGCCTAAGGTGGCTATGATGCAGAACCGGCCGGCAGCCCCAGCGACGGCGGCGCAGGCGCAGAGCATCGCGCCCGGCGCCACAATCGTGAAACTGGTATCGACGAACACGGTCGGCGGCAACAAGATCATAACGCTACCATCCAACATGCTGCAGCTGGGTAAGTCCGGCGTGGGCGGTAAGCAGACCATTGTGATCACCAAATCGGCGAACCAGGCGGCGCAATCCAACCAGCAGCAGTGAGCGCCGCGCGCCGCTGTAGTGACGAGTATTCTCAGAGTGCCCTTAGCTAGCCGTGAGCGGAGTGGGCGGAGTGAGCGGTGTGAGCAGAGCGGCCGCCAGCTCTGCCAGTGTGTGACTGACGAGTATGCGGAGGTGTCTCTAGATTGTAAATTTCAATATTAAAAACACTGAGTGCGTTTCTCGAACTACAGTATATTCTAAATCATATTGAATATAGTATATGAGTCTTTTATATGTTAATGGGTCTGTGTAGAAAATGTCCTCATAGAGTTTTTACTAAAATATTTTATTTACTCTTATAAAATAATTATATTAATGTATGTGACACACCAATTCCTAGGTTCAAGTTGCAATCTGTGCCCGCTAGTAGACTATGAATGTGAATGAAATACCAAGAGTTCCCAATCAAGTTGGCCCAAATAGGAATTTACACTTAAGTGCCTGTTGTGCAGTTGTGCTTAGATGTTGTACTGGACAAGGTGTCTGTGAAGTAGTTATTTCTTGGCAACCACTGTCACTTTAAATAATATAATTATACAGAATATTTCATGTTAATTGTAAGACTTAAGTTTTAATAATTGTATTAGATTATTTTTGTATGTTATTGGAATTTGTTATACAACTATGTTAGACAAATTATTTTTCAAAAATTCATCAATGGTTTGTGTTAATTAATTTTGCAGTTTTAAGTTTTGTTTTAATTTAATCATCCAGTACATTGCTATCTGAAAGCTAACTATACAATAAATTGGACATGGCAAGTACAAGACAAAAATTTTGTTTTTAATGAAATTGTCTTCCACATTTTAAGTTTCCAAAGAATCCTCCCTTGGTTTCAGACACAGTGTGTATGTAGTGTGCTAGAAGTTATACATAATAATTCTATTATTATCATTACTCCCTGCTTGTAATGGCCGCATATTTTAAATTGCATATTGTTCACAAAGTGGACGTTATTCCGATGCGGCCATTAGGATCATGGTGACTTGTTTCTTAGTTTTAGTTAAATCACAACATAGTATGCACTATTTAAGTTTTATATGACCAGCTGTTGATTTTAATGGCATTTTTATTGACATAGTTTGGATCAATGGTGTATCTTTAACTACATTTTGTTTGCAAGTGCCGAGGCTATTTTCAGTATTTGAGACACCCCATTGATCTGAAGAGCTAACAACTTATCTAGGGTTCCCAACCACACCTGTGCAAACAGTACTACACTTCTTTCACTACATTAATTATACTAAACTGTTAAACTGTTTATTTTTCTTCTCATATGTTTCTTGGTGTCGGACAAGTTGGTAACTCTAGGGTAGGCTGCTGTCCGCCTGCGTCGCGGCGCGCGTCGTGTAGCGTGCCTAGACGTGTGGGGAGTCTCAACGGCGTGTGCAGGACACGGGCACCTCCATGTAACTATGACAATTATTACGTTGATAAAGCTATAAATAACTGTTCCGAAAATAATAATATAATATTTTTAAATAAAAATGCAGAATGTTGTTTTTTGGCGCGAAATTGTTCTTAACAAAGTGATTGGCTACTCAAGTAGTGTCAAGTTGTGTGAACATCATAGATATTTTTTAATTGTGTTAAATATGTATAATTTAACTGTTGATCTCGTGGTAAGAATGATGTTCTGCGTTTTTATATAGTTTAGTGTAAGTGTCCTAGGTGTACGTACGTAGAAATAATCATAATATAATAAGGTAAGCGAGGTATGGAATGTAAATATCATTAAGTAGATAAATTTAATGTTATAGTTTGTTCATATTATTATGTTCATTTGCTTGAATAAACGATTTGGATAAATGCAACTTTCATTTCTACCACTAGCGATGATAACGTGGTTGCGCAATGCCACAATGTACACCAACTCTGCCTAGTCATGAAGAATGAACTAGGTCATCCATAAATGAGACGTTTTCATAAATATTACAATACACTTAATTCCATGAATTGAACCTAGAACCCAATGTGAGTGGAATACAAGCAGATGTTACTGACACGTGTCAGACACGCGATTCCTAACATTGACATATATTTTTATCTCTCGTAAAATAATGTAAAGCAGTAATTGTGACTGACTATAACAAATTATACGATTAGATTTTTTGTTTCGTTAATTTATTCTACAAAATCAGTCTGATTTAAATTTTAGAGTGAATTTATTTTTACCTCCATCTATGATAATGTGGTGGTACTAATTTCTCAACTAAGATTTCAGAGCGTACCTACCTAGTACAAATAAGTTTCACATTTTAATAAGTTGAATTTATTAATGGTGGGTCTATAATCAATATAAATAAAATGACCATTTGGAAATCTCACTTGGAGGATATCTCATTGCTTCAGAATTTGATTAACGTATATTGGACTTGTAACATTGCACTTTAGTTGTCACTACATTTAACTAGATGTCGCTACTCGTACCAAAAATTGTTACTGGTGAAATTGTAAAATGTCGATGTGAATAAACGTTGCAATCTTACGTGTTAATTATTATTACCAAAATATTCAAGACGAAAGACGTAAAAATGTAGCTAAAGAGTCGGTAATAACGGCATTCATTTTTCAATACCTAGCTACCTACCTACTTAGTTTTCTGCAACAATTACATAGGTACCAAGTACCTAATGATAAATTGCTGGATATTATTGAGAGTTCCTGTATCAATAACATCAAGGGTACCTAAATATCAAACCAATAACCAGTTCTTAAAGTTTACTCAAAGTGCATAATTTTCAAGGCTACGAGCTATCAACCCACTCTAATTTTAGTATCGTCATTATGCGGAGACACGGAACGAACTATTTTATTAGAAAAATGCATTCAACTGGAGGTCGTCTATTATAGTCTCCTACAAATACTGTCCTCATTTAAATGCTCTAAGTAGATAGGTGTCTACTTGCTAGTTTGTTGGTTTTGTAATGGGTACTTCCATCTTAAGTTAATAAAGAAAGAAGACATGGACTAGGTACCTACCTACCTACTTAATTTTTTTATATTATATAGGCGGGAAACGAGAGGAGAGAAACTAAGAAGTGTAATTCTTTGCCAGTCTTTATTTCCTGGTGGGTGTCTTCAAGGCCCAAGTGAATAGGTTGCTTATGGGACGACGTGCTCCATCATAGACCGCATCATCGCTTACCACCAGGCGAGATAGTGGTCAAACGTCGGCCCATCCTTACTAATATTATAAATCGAAAAGTGAGTTTGTTTGTTTGTTTGTTTGTTCCGCTTTCACGTCGTAACTACTGAACCGATTGCTTTGAAATTTTGCAGACGTAGGTATAGTTAGAAGTCTGGATTAAATAATAGGGTTCTATTAATCCCGGAAAAAATTGATATTCCCGATTGAAAACAAAAGAATTGGTATAGATGGCGCTGTGTGTATTGGTATATGTCACATAGGCTACTTTTTATCCTTTTGTGACGCGAGCGAAGCTGCGGGTGAAAGCTAGTCAAATATAAAAAAGACGGATCACCTTGTGGTAAGCGATTAACGAATAACACCAACACCAGAGGAGGCACTGGCATAACTTTTCTTGAAGGTTTGAAGGTCTTGAAGGACAAAAGGGTTTTAAATATAAAATTATCTCAAGTAAGTATTCAGTAAGTACTTAAAATAACTAGCTCAGAAATATGAATTATATGTTTGGTAACCACTAGTAACCAGTACCGTCCTTAAGCCCGGGGCTTCCGTCCTCAAGGGCCCCCGAAAGATAAGAATACAGACAACAGGCAAGTGACGTCTCCGACTTCATTTCAGCGCCATATTGTCATAGTAGAATTTTCGCACACTATTTAAATATTGAATTTTTAATTCAATGTTTTTCAGCTTATAAATACCAGAATAAAAAAAAACAACTTTTACTGGGTTCCTTAGACTTTACTACATAATATAAAATGGATTTTACACTACACGTTGCACTGCGACCGGCTGCCCCGCAACGTGTTCGATTCCCGCACGACGCAAATCTTTGTGTGATCCACAAATTGTTGTTTCAGGTGTGGGTGTGATGTGCATGTGGACTTGTGTGTTTGTAACGGTGCATGAGAAAGTTCTAGTGTGGTGCAACGTTAAAAAAAAGAAACAATCCAAAAGGGCCCGAATTATTATATGCTCAGGACCCCAGCGTAGTCGAAGGCGGCCCTGGTGGTAACTAGTTTATCAATCAGTTTGCGTGGGTGGTGCAATGCAATCATTATGTTGGACGCTTGCTAGTTCCCAAGTACAGATTACCTATACTTTACTTACCTGCCTACCCATTAATTTACTAGGAAAGGAAGCGCAGTCAGTTTCCTGCTAACTTATTATAACAACTACTTAAATACATATATATGCCAAAGTAAATTGTAGATTTTTTATATCTTATGGTGTCTTGGCTTGTTACTTGATGTTTTTTTAATATCTTGTTCCTTATTTATGACATAAATTAAGTGAACCGTGTATGGTATTGTGAAACAGGCCCGTACTAAAGGGCAGACAGTAGCTAGTTAAAGTATACTTACGTAGTCAGGTAAAGATTTTATAATTTCCATACCCAGGTAATCCACCTTCTGTCAAAGAACTTCTGTGTATCTACGCCGCACCTATATGTTGCGGAGAACCTAACGGGTAACCGGGGCTCCGGCTCGATGTGCAGGAGTAGGAACGGGGTGGTTTTTAGTCAGTAAGAGTCTGACACTCCCTCCCGCCTCACCCAGGCGGGAGCAGACATTCGATAATATTCCCACCCTAAAAAAAAACGCCGTACCTATCTAGGTGTAGGTACTTATAAGAAAGGAATTTGATAGTATAATTGTCTGCTACTATAATTAGGTGTCGTCTCTCACTGTATTTACATAGGAGGTAGATTGAAACAATTGAACTTTGATTTCGATCACATTTGCATATAAAGGCAGAACACGTTTTTGTACCTCTATTGTACATGTATAGGTACATGAAAACTTATATAATAAATGCTTATCTATTAAAATAAAATAATATTATCGCGCCG